GGTGTGGCACTGTAGGATCAGGACTAGACTGTGAACCACAAGGTCAGCAGTTCAAATCCTCAGAAACCCTATACAAGGTCACTATGAGTCAGAACTGACTCAACGACACTTAATAACAACAACACGGGTCAAGGCAGACTGCAAGGTTTTGCTCTGCTGTGTATTAAAAGAGAAGACACTGGGAAAAAAAAAAAAAAAAGCTTTGAGCACATCATAGGCCAATTTTCATCAGTAAAAACAAGGAAGGGGCAATTGCAATTTTTATGTAGTGTCATAACATGTTAAGTAAAAGATTAAGAAGTTCAACTTATGTTTTTGAGCTGTTGGCCTGAGAACCACAAGGTGGACAGCTCATACCTACCAGCTGCTCCTCGGAAGCCCTACATAGGGTCTTTATGAGTCAGAACCAACTCGATGGCACTTAACAACAACAACAATTATGTAAAAGTTATCTGCAAGATGATGTCAGATGTTTGGACAGGGTTGTGATTTCATTGCTTGGTATAGGCACTATGTTCTGTACATACACCAGTGAGGAAGGGATTCACATGTGCTGGGACTCACTATGTGCCAGGGACTGTCTTGTACTTTCATATTCAATCTGCCTAGCCGCCTTTCAAGGTAGGCTTGATTCTTTTCATTGGACAGATGGGGACATTAAGGCTCAGTGAGGGGTCGATAGGATTGCTCAGAGCCAGGAAGATGGTAAGCCAGGACTTGGCCTCAGACTTCAGATCCCTTGACAGACAGACAAATTCTTTGTCAGACTTAAAATCCCTTGCCCACTCACGGAGCCAGGAGACACTTGGCTATTTGCTCCTCTGAGTTCTCTGAGACTTCTATCTCCTCCCCTCTTCCCTGTCCCTATGAGTCCTTTCTCCTTTGTAAGGGTCCTGAAGTTTACACCCAGAGCTGCTACCCATGCTGGCTGCCATAGCTTCACCCCCTCTTCATGCTGGCTTCCCTGCAGCTAGGCCCATCTCTGATACACACTGAAATGGCCTTCTCAGCACGTCAATTTTGTGATTAGACCCTTTGAGCTAAGTCAGTCCAGTCTTTTACCTAACTGTCAGCAATATCCCAGTATTTCAGCTCTGGAACCCATATACTTACAGTTCCCCTAGTGAATGCATCAGGCCCCACCCCACCTCCGAGCCTTACATGTGCTGTTTCCTCTATCTGGAAACCTTTCTTCTTCTTTTCTGTTACCTGTCACTCAGGTCTCAGATCAGAAGTCCCCTCTTCTAGGCTGGGTGGGATGTTCCTCCTTTGTGTTCTCCCAGATACATGTGCCTTATCTAACAACTATTTGCTACTTGTCTGTGTCTTCAGGAACTATAACCTTTCTCCCTGAAATACTGTGTGTCCTCAAATATGCCAAACTTGTTTCTGCCTCAGAGCCTTTGCACTTTCTGTTTCCACTATCTGTAGAACTCTGACTTCAGATTTTCACATATACCTACAGCTCACTTATTGACTATCTTGTTAGCTGACATTTTGCACTAACAATAATAGTAAAACATCAACTCTGACTATTGTATGCATTAATGACATCCGTCTGGTAGTGACAGACACTGATGTGGGAGGTATGAGTAATGCTGGCTGTGATGACTAAGGTTATGTGTCAATTTGACCGGGCAAGATCCTCAGTGGCTTGACAGTTATGTAATGACACATCGTCATCTCCATTTTGTGATCTGATGGGGTTACCCTGCATTTTTTGTATAACAAGCTGGTCTTCACAACCTAAGTAAGTCAATAAGGAGTAGGTTGTTTGGCTCCATCTTACAAATAGATGAGTTAAATGCCCCATCAGCAGAGATGCATTTGCTGACCACTGTATGTATCTATTGTAACTTCCTTGGTCTCTCTCTTACATCAAAGTACTCAACACCTCCTATTGTCCTATTTATTTGATATGCTTGTTGTTTTTATGGGTTGTCATCTCCCCCACTTAATTCATAATTATTATGAATTAATTTTTTCATAAATATCTTGTTGAAAACTGGCCCTCTCATAGTCTATCCTTTATAAACCAAATAGTAAGACTCAAAGCCATTCAAATAGAAATACTCAAAGCCATTCAAAAGGGAACATGATTCAGTTCTCCCACCTGGAAATGTGGGTTTTCCCCTAGACACCCAACTCCAGCAGGGGACCCATGATTTCCCCAATCTTGTCTTTGTGTCACCCAATGTTCCTAATTATGCTCTTGGAGATTATTGCCCTTCTACCCTCCAGGGCCCCAAGTCCTGTAAACAGTTCTGATTGTTCAGTAGTATTAAATATCTTCCACCATCAACTCATGGAATCACCTCTATTTTAAAGATGAGAAAACTGAGGCTCAGAGAGGGCATTTCCTGGGTAAGCACACTTAATGGTTATCCCAACCATTTATTGAGAACTTACTGTGTGCCGGGCCCTGTCCTAAGCCCCTGAGTCTTAGGACATCTCACTTATCCCTCACTAGTAAGGGACACTTCTGATTCAGTGAGTTGTCTATGCCCTGCACAGTAGTGAAGCTGGAGTGCAAAGTAAGTTCTGTTGGACTACAATTACAGACTACAACTTTTAGAACAACTCTGATTAATTTTAATTAAAAGTCCAGCTCTCTGAGGCCCAGAAGACCTTATTTATGTACAGAACCCCCTATTTGTAAGAATGTACTCCACCCACAAACCAACTGTGAGAGGTGGGCATCATGATTCCTACGTATAGATGAGAAAACAGATTCTCAGGGAGATTTGGTAAATCTCCTGAGATCAGAGATGAAAGGTCTGTCTGCCTCTCTTGCGGCTGGGCAGGGCTGCTTCCTTAAGCAGGAAAGCAGAGTGGACAACCCAGGGAAATGAACCAGTGTCTCTCCCCTGCCCTCAATTTTCCCTCACGTTTTATCAGCTGCTGAGATTTCTGAACTGGGGTTCCAGGCCAGCAAGTTGTGCTGTTACTGTGCAGATGCAAACTAGGTAAATCATGTTTCCTCTGCTTGGATGACTGCTACAAGATTAGCCCCCTGGAGAGGGAGAGCCCAGACCATCCCCTAACTCTTCCCATCTGGAGGTTTCCTGCACAGCTTGGCTGCTAAGGGTAAGAGGTTTCCCTAGCCAGCCTTTTTTTGGAATCTCTTATCTCAGCAAAAAATAGTTTCAGCATCCTTTCCTTTTACCTGTCAACTTTATATCTAGCTGGTCTGATGGTTATTAAGTACTCACAATATTCTGGGCAGTTCTCGGTGGTTACTCATTCTTATTCAGCAACTCGTTGGCCCTCTTGATAGACAAGGGAATTGAGGCAAGTGAAGTCATGTGCCAAGTTTCCAGAGCCAGTAGGTGGTAGCGCTGGGATTTGTACCAGTCTGGTCCCAGAGCTCACCTTCCTGACCTGTGTACTGCCCAGGCCTTTCAGATCCATCCCCAGCCCAGCCTCAACACCTCCCTCCAGGGGCCTACACCAGCCTCTCATCTTGCCCTCCTAGCACTTCTCACACACCCATCACAGGACTCTTCTGAAATGCACATCTGACTGCCCCCTTCAGAAGCTTTCCTTAGAGATATGCTGGTCGCCTTGGCCTTGCAGGTAAGGACCTTCCCCAGAGGAAGAGCTGACAGTAGCTCCCAGGCACAGTGCTGAATTCTGCATATCTGCTAATAACAACACCATAAAGCTGGGAATACATCCTCGCATTCTACAAATGAGGAAATCGGGGTACAGAGAGATTATATAATCTATCCAATGTGTACAGCAGGTAGGCAGCAGGGCTAGGGTATGAACCCAGACAGATTTTGTGTGAGTTCCATGTGACCTGGGCAATTCCAAAATGAATGTAGCATGTACTTGTGCACACACACACACATGCCTTTGCACTTAGGGCTCTCTTTGCTACCATGCCTTTCTCACCACCACTGCACCCACTTCTCACTTCCCCAGGACCTGGGTAAACCTTACTCAGTCTCCAAACTCAGCCTCAGGTACCTCCTCCTGGAAGTCTACCTGGATTTGGCCCCTCCTTATTGGAGACACCTGTGCTGGTTCCATCCCATAATGATCTCCTATTTTCTTGAATTCCATACCACAGAGCAAATTAGCGCAAAGTCCCTAAAGTCTGGGGTATGTTTGGGGAGTGGCAAGGAGGCCAGGGGAAGACTGGATCTGAAAGTGCAGGAGGAGGGGAGACTGGGAAAAAGCAGAGAAGTGGGCAGAGGGCAAGGCATGTTAATTCTTGTTGTCCAAGGTAATGACAACAATGGCTAAATGGATGGGAAGACTAATGAAGTTTCAAAGATCCAATGGACAAATGATGCCTCCCAGCACCAAATACAGAGCTGAAACCAGAAAAGGAGCCCCTGTCAATTTGTG